TCTTGTCGGTATTGTATACCATTAATATACAACTGAATGAAATATTCTACTGACAAATATTAAGACAAAAAACATTATCACTCTGAGTAGAGCTTTATAAGGCTATAACTTTATAAAGCTCTACACAGAGTGGAAAGTTATGTGCCTCTGGGTCTTAGAAGCGCCAAAAATTGGTGACCCAAGTGTCTTTATATCTTTTCACAAAGTAATGACTTGTGTCGTCCCCACAGCATCACAACAGATTCATCTGGGTTAAGATGCTCATCACCAAAGGTAGTGAATACTGACTTTCAGACCGAGAGACTGATTACCTTATCTACTACTGTCTTCTGCATGGTTGTGGGACGGATTACCTCATCTTCTACTATCTTTGCATATTGTCTCTTTATTGAACTGAAAAGCCACTGGGTGGCGAAACATCGTCAGATAAAGATCGTCACCCTTGCAATATCGAAGTCACTCTTCAATTCTTCTTCCGTCATGCTCCTATCCTCTGCAGCTTTTGCTAATAGCTCACAATTCTTGCTCTCTTCAGCTATTCTTCTCGTCCATTTTGTTGCTAACCTTGTTTATCCTCCTTTCCCACTCTCGCTCAGTCGTTCTCTTTAACCCTACTGTCCATTCTTCTTTCACAGACCAAGCTGTACTCGGCCATCCTCTCCCACTTACACGAGACCCAAACTAACAGCGTGGCTGGTGATTAATTATCCGTGACGGCGGAACTGGCCTAAATGTGCTGTGTGTAGGTTAATTATATGCAAGAGTAGGAAACCGCAGCCTCGGAGACTCACGTTGACAACTCACTGGAAGAGTTTTGCTGGAGAGGTCATCTTCCTGAACATAAATCAAGCAAATTTTTTTATAATTAAGTTCAATGTCTAAAACAGAAATCTAAGTTGGTATAAATAATTCTTGTAGTATAATATTTCCAATTTAGCTTGTCCGATTAGCATTATTAATTATTCTTTTATATATTTATATAGTTGCTAACTCCCTCTGACCTGTGATAGTGACTCAGGAGCCCAAAAGTGAGTTGACTGATGAATACTTCATTAAATCTTTGCTGTGGCCTTCACTGAAGCAGTCCAGGCTCCGTGCTTTAGAACAGCCAGCACCTTTGATATACCTTTGATGAGTTCTGAGAGTTTTTCTACTCCCAGAGCCCGGCCTTAGGTCAGACTCGTCTGGTGCTTTCAGACTTTTTAGTTAATGGGGGTTCAAATCCGATCGACTACACGAGGGATGCTAAGACTATGTCACCTGTTCATCACCAATCAAAAATACTTTAATACCTAAAACAGAGTTAATTCTCAGGGTATATACGCTGATAAAGGTATTTCTGCTGGTGTACATATCGTGTGTAAGAACCAGCAGTATTGACAAGGCTTGATGTGTTCTTCCTGTACAGCTTCTCACACTCTCCCCTACTTATGCTCTTCTCGTTCACACATCCCATCACAGTGTACATCCTGCATATCATCACCTTCCCCTTTCCACCTTTCTTCCTCCTCATCCCCGCGCACTTGCATGTACTTACCCAGTTTAATTAATGGCGTTCGAACCACAGAGCGAACCACAGACTCTTCGTGTATTTACATTTTTAAGCTTCGTTGTGGTTAGTCATTGCTCCTGGGCTACCTCCTCCTCTGATACATTCCACTTACTAACCACCCTGGAAAAATATCTGTAAGTACAATAGTGTAGGGCGTCTATCTCTGGATTATTGAACGGAGGGTCGAGTCTCCACCACGTCTGGTGCTGAATGTTGCAAAATACAGTTAAACTTATTCAGATATTCACTTTCCCTCTGTACCATCTAATGTCTGGAACTCCTCTGCATTTGCCTCGCAGGCACCTCGGAATTACCGTGTACATTGTGATTATGTATTATTATACAAATTTTATATGAAGACTTAAACCCGTGTGGGCTATTCAGTGTAATATGTGGTGCGGGGTACGAAAGACAAGCTATCTTAATGCACTTACCAGTCTGCTCTTCATGTGGTCATCTTTCCTCTTAACTAACCATACCAGTGGCTAACGCGACGGTCTGGAATTTTGAGACTCTCTGACCGCGGGTTCAAATCCCGCCCGTGGTATGGTTTGTTTGCAATCATGTCATTACGATTTCGTGAGTCATGTTTTCCTCTTAGCTCTTCTGTTTACAACGCTTTCAGGTGGAGGTCTTGAAGTGTGTCCTCGTAGCCTGGGTCTCGAGTCTCAGGGACTTTCTTTGTGGCAAGTCTATGAACCTTCTTCAGTTATCTTATGTTTACTGATAAGTATCTGAACCTTCTTGAATTATTGTATGTTAGAGTTTCTTGATCTTGCTCCCGTGTTATCTTACGTTATGCGATGAGTTTCTGGATCTTCTCGATTATCTAACTTTATCTTGCAAGTCTCTGGAATTTCTTGAGTTATTGCACGTTATCTTAAGAGTTTCTAGATATTCTCAAGTAACTATTCGGTTATCCTCCGTTTTAGGAAAACCGGTTTATATGTCAATGCTGCCGACTGTCTTCATCAGCCTGCGAGCCGGTGACGATAACTGGGTACCGAGGTAGCTACTTGCTTATGCAAATAAGAACACTATATACCAGAAAAAATGTCGAGAGAAATATGTCCAGACACTCTCTGGATGAATGCTGCTGAGTCGATCACTGTCAAGTAATGCTGTAGTCACGCATCCGTGTCTGTTACACTCCATAAAGTGACCACCAACACGCAATCTTTTCGATTATGGGTTTGGTTGAATATTCTGCTGAGTGTCTCACTTTCCGAGAGAGAGAGAGACAGAATGATACGTCTCTCTGAGTAGTGTGTGCAAGATACCGTGACCTAAACATGTAGCGTTTTTATTTTTAAGAAATATGCAGTGTCACCATGTCGAAATATCTGCAGTTATTATTCTTGGTCTTGTATCTGCATGTAACTTTGAGAAATATATGTCTCTATACGTCTTCTACTGGCCTGGCAATAGTTTAAGATGGACTTTATCTCTAACATGATTTGTTTCTGCCTTGGTATTTTTATTTACATTCCTCTAAGGTTGATTACACCACCCAGGTACCTATTGACTTTTAGGTGAAGTAGATAGTAGGTTTAAGGAGACTTTTACCTGGGCACTTATTTTAATTTTCGTGAGTAAGGGCAACAGGTATAAGGAAACTAACACCCAGGTACCTATTTAATTTCAAGTGAACAGGGGCAGCGGATGTAAGGAGACTTGCCCATTCATCTCAACCTGGAATATTAGTGTTCTTTATACTAGTTTTTCTTAACAGATAGGCCGTCTCCCACCGAGGCAGGGTAACCCGAAAAGAGGATACACTTTTATCGCCACTATTCAATCACTGTCTTCCCAGAAACGTGCTGATATCATAGTTCCGATGATCCACTTAACTGTAGCATCTCCATCCCTCCTTCAGAGTGCAAGCACTGTATTTTCCACCTCCAGGACTCAAGTCCAGCTAACCGGTGTCCCTGAATCCCTTCACACTCCACCAGCACGTCAAGTCACAAAAACCACGTATCTCCACTCCTATCTAACACTTTCACACAAGCCTGTCGGATGTCCAAGCCCCTAGCACTCAAAACCTCCTCTAACCCCTCTCCCTTCAAACCTTCCTTCCCTCCATCCCAACTGTGGTAACAAAATAATTACAGAAACATTTTTATCCAACAGAAAACAACCCGTTTAAGCTAATTACACAGACGAAGTAAATGCAAGAAGACAGGACTGAACTGTCTTGAGTCTTATTCAGGAATTCTGAGTCAGGAGACATTTTACATTCATGTCTGACCAACGAGTAGTTGACGTTCATTCTGAATACTGAGACGTGAAGTCTCTACTGATGTATGTAATTATGTTTATTCTGAGACATGTACGTGTATTGATGGTTATACTGAGACATGAAGTCTCTACTGATGTATGTAATTATGTTTATTCTGAGACATGTACGTGTATTGATGGTTATACTGAGACATGAAGTCTCTACTGATGTCTACTGATGTGTATACTGAGATGTATATTGATGTTTATTCTGAGACATATATACGAATATTGATGTTTATGTTTAGAAAACCGACAAGTTGAAGAATAAAACACTTATACAACATTTTGGAATCTTTACTGAGGACACATTTCGCCAGCCAGTGGCTCCTTCAGTCCACTGCACCGTTCTTCACTCTACTGGACTGAAGAAGCCACTAGCTGACAAAACGTTCCATTGAGACTGAGATTTTATACAGAGACGGGCTGGAGTTTTGAGACTCTATGACCGCGGGTTCAATCCCGGCCGTGGGTATGGTGTATTCCAATCATTGTTCCATCAAAAATGTTTACTCTAGTTTAATGACCTGGATGATACGAATGTTCCAGTCCTTGTTCCAGCATGGATGTCTTGGATGTCAGAAACGTTTCAGTCCAGGTTCTAGCAAGGATGTCTTGGATGTTAGGAACGCTCCAGTCCAGGTTCTAGAAAGGATATCTTGGATGTCAGAAATGTTCCATTTCTTGTTCCAACACGGATGTCTTGGATGTCAGAAACGTTCCAGTCCAGGTTCTAGCAAGGATGTCTTGGATGTTAGGAACGTTCCAGTCCAGGTTCTAGCAAGGATGTCATGGATGTCACAAACGTTCCAGTGCAGGTTCTAGCCTCTGCTAGATACTAAGAACATTCCAGTCCACCAGTTCAAGTGTATATGTAGAATTACACACACACACACGTCTAAGACAACAAATATCATACAAAAACACCAGTTTAAGACCACAGATACTTCAGAAAAACACCAGTTTAACACCACAAATACTCCAGAAAAACACCAGTTTAACACCACAAATACCTCGAAAAACACACTTTAACACCACAAATACCTCAAAAAACAACACAGTTTAACACCACAAATACCTCACATAAACACAGTTTAACACCACAAATACCTCGCATAAACACTCCAGTCTGAGTCGACCGTCTCCAAGAAAACCCACGATCACTCACCTCTATTTCGGCGTTGAATAACTTCTTCAGAGGTAACGAAGACTGTGGAGAAAAATCTCCCATCTACTCGTGTCTCATTATTACAGCTGGTATATTTCTGACTCTACTGCATGCCCAAGGACACTGACGAGAAGGCACTAGTCTATGTATGAACGTGTATAGTTATCCAGGGTTATGGTTGCTATGTAGCACAACGTATGTTCCCCACAGGAAATATTTAAGTGCACTGACTGCTTCTTTCTCTCAACTCGACAAGGAGACTCGTGACCGCTCTGGCCAAACTCTCGTACCTGCATCCTACTTCGCTGCCTACCAAGCCATGGTAATTGTTTATATATTTAATTTTAGACATAAATAAATTTCTCATCATATATATATATAAAGCTCTCACGATTTATGAAAACTTGGAGCTCACTTTCGGAGATATTTGTATAGTTGGTTTATGACTCCTTTAACAAAAATTCCTGGAAGGACTGAGGTTAAGGTAGGATCTGCATATGGAATGATGAATTAACTCCTATACATAAGTTAACGCCTTTGGATTTACCTAAAACGTCTCGTAATCACCCAGGTTAAAGGAAAACATGAATGTAGTCCACAAGGAAGATCAGAGTGTCATGTAAGATGCGTCTGGCAGAGTGTGAGGCCAGGAGCCGCTGGAGACTTGAGCGGGACAGACAGAAGTGATCCTCGCTCAACCTACTTTGTTTTGCCTTCACACTTTCTCCGACGTAAATTATTGGTATTCCACTAAATAACTTTTGACAGTTGACTCGGTTACTGACACTCAAGAGTGTATATTTCATCACATACATTTCGGGAAAGAATAAAGGTTAAAATACTCGCCATAATTGTATGTCACTTGCCTTCGTGCAGTCCGTGTAGACTACATCTACATGGAACAGCCAACGAATGTCCCACACTGGTGAAATAACGACGTATCGATCAGTCCTGGACATAAACGTCATCTAACGTTCTCTATCCCTGTCTCATTATGTGTGAGACTGGCTTAATACTCATGAAAGATATCCTATAAGAAGTTACCGAAGTCTAATATCTTATAAACGAGTGTAGGGTATAGTTGAGCTCGTTAGTAGAAAGTTGGACTCATAGTCGAAGATACGAGAGTTTAGTCACCAAGCAAGGCGAGACTCCTAGGTAACTCTCCTAGCACCCGCTGTTGGTCTTCACGTAGCAGGATTTGATATCCTGGAGTCAGTCACTGTTTTGGGTCATGTCCTGAAGGAGGAACTAAAGTCCTCGGCAAAAATAAATAGCATCGTCTGACTTTCCTAGGTTATGTAGATAAATATTTCGCCACACAGTGGCTTCATCAGTCCAATACAAAGAAGAATTGTGATAATTAGGGTCATAGGTGTAGTCTAATGGCCTGCACACCTGGCTGTAGAACGATTGCCACATAGGAACGAGCAAAAGGAAACAGAGTGATTGCTTGTATTTCCTTCACCAAATAATAATCTGGTATGTACTCTATATACAGCCTATGTACAATATCTACAGCTATGTACAATAAAGTAAATGCAAGCACAGGACACCGTGAGAACCTTAGCAACCAAACGTGAAGGTCTCTTTCTACTGCCTTTTTGCTTGTTCCTAAGTGTTTATTGTTCTACAGCCAGGTGTGCAGGCCAGTAGACTACACCTGTGTCAGCAATATTGGACTCTGTTCGGGAGCTGAAATCGGAACCTCTCACATTATGCGAAAAAACAGCTCAAAATGTGCAGTCGATTCCTGCACATTTTCTCTCATTGCGAGAAGCAACAGAGGAAGAGATTCATCCCAGTCTGTAGGAAAATGCATGTAATACCCGTGCCCATCGTAGTCTTTAAGGTTTGCTGGAACCTTTCCAAGGCGCCTTGGGAATGAGGATGACAGGCTTCTCTGAAGAATTTTGATATAAAATTAGTACCCTGGTCACTCTGGACAGATTGGGGAATGCCATAGCACGAAATAAACTTGAAGGGATTTAGTGTTGATACTCAGCATAGGTACGGCCACAGGATACCTAGCAGTTTTATCAAGAAGGGTAAACATCAGTCCAATATAAAGAAGAATGGTGAAGATCAGAAGGAGTTTGAGGTAATCGGTCCCTCAGTCTGGAGTCGATGTAATCAGTCCATCAATCTTGGTAAGAATACATCATAAGTGTTAATCCTCCAGACTTAATCCTCATGACTTAAACCAAAACAGACAAATATTTTCATCGGTCTTACTAATTCATGATTGTTAGTTACTGACAATAATGCAATAAGAACAAACACAAGAATGTAGGAACACTGCACCAGGCCTGTTAGCTCATGCTAGGCAGGTCCTACCCGACCAACCTAATTTTTAAGCTACCCAAAGTTCTCGCTTCATCAGGAATGGCATCGTGACACAGGTCTATATCAAATGGTAACCTGTCACTGGCACTAGAAAGAGCGTCAAAATTTGGACAAGTGAGGTACCGTTTTTACCCCTGGCCCGTGGCCTGGCAGGCAACGCTTTCACATCATACACTGAGTGTTCGTGGTTCAATCCCGACAGGGTAGAATCATTGGGCATATTTCTTTACACCAGCTGTCTTTGTTCAACTCTCAGTAAGTAGGTACCTGGGTGTCACTCGACTGGTGTGGGTAGCATCCAGGGGAACAAGATCGAAGGACCACAATAGAAATAAGACAGTCCTCAATGACGCAAAGACTTTCTTGAGTTATCATGGATGGCTAACTTTCCGGGATAAAAATCCGAACAAATCTTACCTTAACGAGGGCCCGGTGTTTCCTTCAACACAAGTGTTGTAGCAGTTAGCTACAATCGTCACAGACGTCCTGTGGTACCTTCAAACTCAAATCCAATAAACTCGTCTGTTGACTTACATACACGCGGCTAGTGATATAAACCTTGCTAATTGATGCAGACGAAGTGATTGAACAAGACACGCTAGCAAACACTAGACTGGAAAGCGTTACGGTCCTGGGATCTTGAAAGTGATCAAAGTTCCAGGACCGGAACTTTTTCTAATTGATATATCTGGGTGCTTGCTCAGGTAACTTTGAAAAACACGCAGCTTGTAAGGAAAGGTGTTGGTGCAGCAGGAGTCAGAGTTGCATCTCTGAGACTCACCTATATGTACTCACCTACACGTGGTTGCAAGGGTCGATTCACAGTTCCTGGCCCCGCCTCTTCGCTGGTCGCTACTAGATTCACTCTCTCGCAGCATCAAGAGCCTTATCGTACCTCTTCGTAAAGCTATGTATGTTTGCAGCCTTTACCACCTCACTCGCCAGATTGTTACACTTCCTGACAACTCTGAGGCTGAAGAAATACTTCCTAACATCCGTATGACTCATCTAAGTTTTTAAATTTCAGTTGCACTTAACATTTTGGGGTTGCTGGGGTCGATGTGTTTCACACAGGTATATAGGCTCGCCACTCCCCCCAAAAAGTCCGCTTCGTTGAAGTCACCCTCGACACTGGCTAACTCAGGAGCAACCTTTGATCCTCAAAGGAACAGAAACGTAGGGCACGTTTCTTTACACTTGCTGTCCCCGTTTACACCATAGATAAGATAAAGATAAAGATTTTATTTCTTTGCAAATGTTATAATGCGTAATAACATTTTTGATTTGTTAAGTCCAAAGAAAGGCAACACCATGCCGGGGAACTAAGGAAACACCGGGGTGTTAGATGACTGGTGTGGCCGAGTGGTCGGTATCCTTGGGCGAAAGACTTAAAAGACCCCAGTGGAAACAAGATAGTCTAATAAGATCCTGACTTTATTGGGTTATCCTGGATTACTAACCCTCCGGGGTGAATCCAAATAAAAATCCAATGTGTAATATAGCGTATGAATACATACACTATATTACAAACTCAACTACCATGATATTTAGGACATTTTACAAGCGTTAAGGGAAGACTCTGCCTCACCATCACGAAGGTTTGTCAGGAAACAGGACAAGTGTTTCCTGACGAGGGTCTTATTCATATGATGACCCACAGCTGGAGCTTTTGGTCATCTGACCGAGGCCTTCTGCTGGCTTACCGGTCCATCTCTTTAAAAATCATAGTTATGATAATAACCATTAGTATGGTAGGGGGCTATCACGAAGGCTTGGTTTCCTGTGGCTCCATCAGACAGGAGAGACTTGAAATAAAGATGGTATCAACGACCCCAATGGAAATAAGCAACTTTTCCAGACTTTTTTTGGGGGGTAACCTACACATATGCTGCTATGTATGATAATTGATCTGTGTTTATGTATACCTGTACATGAATAAACTTATTTACTTACTAAACATTAAGAATAATGTTGACCAGTTATTTCAATGTCTACCCTAAAGAAATTTAATTTTCTTTAGTAATAAGTTGTAACGTTTTCTTCTATTTTTAACGTTGTGACTAACACAAACCTGAATATTTCTTAATTTATTAATAAATAATAATAATAATAATAATAATAATAATAATAATAATAATAATAATAATAATATTAATTATAATAATAATAGTAATAATAATAATAATAATAATAATAATAATAATAATAATAATATAATAATAATAATAATAGTAATAATAATAATAATAATAATAATAATAATAATAATAATAATTAATAATAATAATAATAATTTTATTTCTACAAGTATATGTACAAGATAAAATTAGACACATGTACGACAACCGGGTCTCTATTGTACAAAAAAACATCGACACCATGCCTAACCCTTCTAGGGTAGGGTAGGTGCCTGAGCCCGAGCCTTTAGCTCATAAGACTGTCATTCCCATTAGCCCTCTTGGGGCGGGGATGGCAGACGAGAGGCCTAGCTTGTGGCTAGGCCTGGGGACAGTTGGTCCCAAAGATGAGGAGGTACTAGAGCCTCCTCCCATGGGAGACTTAGGTCTCAGACACTCCCTAAAGAGGGAGCCAAGGCCGGGCCACCACTTGGAAAAGGCCCGGGCCGGGAGAATACCGGCTAATCTTTAATAATAATAATAATAATAATGTACAAAAAAGCTTGCTGCTAGGCCTGGGAACAGTTGGTCCCAAAGATGAGGGGGTACTTGTACCTCCTCCCATGGGAGATTTAGGTCTCGAGATACTCCCTAGATAGGGAGCCAAGGCCGGGTCACCACTGCTTGGAAAAGACCTGGGCCGGGAGAGTACCGGCAAATAATAAAAAAAGCTTTCTACCACCTGCCATCCCCACGAGCCCCTTTGGGGCGGGGCAGATGACAGACCA